TACGTGGCTGGCGCCTTAGCCGGTTGAGCTATAGGCGCTGAGCCAGAAAAAAAGGTTTTAATTTTGATGAAGTCCAAACATATCTATTTTTCCCTTTATGGATTATATTTTTGGAGTGAAGTTCAAGAACTTGTCACCTAGTCCAAGATCCTGATGAGTCTTCTAGTCTGACTTTTAAGTTTGATAGCTTTTCATATTACATTTAAGTCCATGATACATTTTTAGTTAAATTTTATATAAGATGAGAGATTTAGGTCAAAGTTCATTTTATTTATGTACTTTTGTCTATAGATACCCAATTGCTTCGGCACAAAGCTCTCTCTCCTCCACTGAATTGCTTTTGTACATTGTCAAAATCAATCAGGTGTATTTCTGGGTTCTCTTCTGTTCCATTGATCTATGTGCCATTCTTTTGCCAATACCATCTTGATTACTATCGTGTTATAGTAAGTCTTAAAGGTGGGGAATGTGAGTCCTCTAATCTTTTTCTTCTTCAAAGTTGATTTGGCTTAATCAATTTCACTCTGGATATTTTCATCTTTCCCCACTTGTCTCTTGTTTTATTTCAGAGAAGAAAGCTGTTGTATAAGTTCTTCCTTTTCTTGTTGTAACTCCTGCAATTGTTGTTGGTTCTGCTCCAGTCTGTCCTCCAACCACTGTAGAAGGGGCCCGCTGACTGCTGACATCTGACTGCACAGATTCTTGGTAAATACTAAGCCATTATGGATCTTGGTTACCGAGTCCAGGTGTGTGAGGCTGTGGATCCTCCGGAAGGCCTCCTGCTCTTCCTGGCACAGGATCCTGGGCAGCTCTACTGCTGATTCAAGGCACACTTTCCCCATGGTGACATGAGGTATAATATGAAGTGGGATTTCAATTCTCTCATACCCAGAGCTCTTTTGGGCCTGGATAGATTGGAAGCAAGTGTAGAATACCTGGCCAATATTTGCCTTTTTATCTCCTACAAAACAGGAAAAAATAAGTCCTACAAAGCCTCGATCCATCATCTGGTACATGGCTTGTGTGCGAATATCAACATGTGAAGGCCAAACAGTTATGTGAGGGTGGGAATGATACCAGCCCACGACTCTCAAGGGGCGACCTGTTAGTTTCGCCAGCCTCTCCGCCTCCGTGGAGGCTGCAAACAGCTGCTCGGGAGAAATTTCCACGCGGTCCTTCCTCTTTTCAAAACGGCGCAAGATGATGACAGAATGAATGTGAACTATTCTGACAGGGTCAACCTTCTCAGCCACTGGGCGCGTTTCGGTTCCAGTACGTGCAAATTCCGAGTCATACCTTGGGTCGTCCTTCAGCTCGCCTATGCACAGCCCCATCACCTCCTCCTTCTCGGTGCTCAGAGCGTGGTTGAGACAGACGAGGAAGGCGTCGGACTCGAGATGAACGGCCAGCGCCGCCTGCACCGCCCGCCGCGCCATCTTGATCCGACCCTGCTCGCGTCCCCCTCGCCCGCGCCACCGGGTGTTCCGGCGCGACCTCCCCGCGCGGCTGCGCCCGCCCGGCCGGGCCTGGCCTGCAGCCTGGGGGGCTTTTTTTTGAGACCGTCTCACTCTGCTGCCGGTGGGGTCACAGCTCACAGCTCACGGCGACCTCCACCTCCTGGGCTCAAACAAGTCTCCTGCCTCCGCCTCCCAAGTAGCTGGGACCACAGGCACCCGCCACAACGCCCGGCTATTTTTTGGTTGCAGCTGTCATTGTTGTTTGGTGGCCCGGGCTGGATTCGAACCCAGCTCAGGTGTATGTGGCTGGGGCCCTAGACGCTGAGCTCAGGAGCCGAACCGGCCTAGATTTTTTTTCTTTTGAATTTGAATTGTATTATCCTTTCATTTGAAACGCAATGTATGTTCTTATGGGAAATACAGAAAATACAGGAAAAAATATTTTGGAAATCATTGTATTTTTACCCCAAATAATGAGTGTTACAGCTTATTATATTTTCTTTTTCAAGTCATTTCTCTTCACTCTGCTTTTTGTTAACATGCTTTTTAAATGTGTGAATATGTAGTATTTAGTGGGCACATAAATCTTTGGGGGGATCTAATTTTTTCATCTTTATATTGGAGGTAATAATAGTCTCTATCTCACAATGTTGTGAGTATTAAACTAGTTAACACACAAACAAAAGAGTAGAGAGAACATAGTGTGCATTCTCTGAAGGCTAGCTACTTTTATTTCATTACTATTATATAATCGTGCATCTTGCTTTCTTTTACTTAATCTGTAAAGTCTGTTTTTCTCTGTTAGGATACACTTATCACAAAATCTCTTTTGCAATGGCTGCAGAATATTCTACTGGCATCAAGTTATTTGTTATCAAACTTCTCCATATTTCATTCTGTGAAGCTGGGAAGTTTTTTTTTTTTTTTTCAGGCCAGATACCCTAACCAAAATATTATAAATGAAATCAAGGTCTTTTTTGATGAGTTGGCCAAATAAAATGCAAAATTTCCAGCTAAATTTGAATTTCAGGTAAATAACAAGAACTTTTTTTTAACTTTAAATATGTTCCAAATATTTTATAGGAAATAATTAAATGTTGTTTGTTGTGTACCTGAAATTCAAGCTTAACTGAATGTACCGTATTTTTATTTACTAAATCTGACAATCCTACAAATGAGATGAGAAAAAGAGAGAGGATGTGTTTACCTGGCCTCATTGTTACTAACTTTTTTCAGAAGAGATTGAGCATGATCATGGCGGGGTGGCTTGAGACTGTTACTAATTTTGTTTTTTTTTGAGACAGAGTCTCAGTCAGTCACCCCGGGGTTGAGTGCTGTGGCATCATAGCTCACAGCAACCTCAAACTCTTGGACTCAAGCAATCCTTTTATCTCAGTCTTCCAAGTAGCTGGGACTATAGGCATCCACCACAATGCCCACATAGTTTTTCTGTTTTCAGTATAGACTGGGGTTTCACTTTGCTCAGGCTGGTGTTACTACATTTCTTAAAAAGGAAAGGGGGTTCTAAGTTTTTATTAACAATCTCCCACTTGGCTTGGCACCTGTGGCTCAAGCGGCTAAGGCGCCAGCCACATATACCTGAGCTGGCAGGTTCGAATCTAGCCCGGGGCCGCCAAACAACAATGATGGCTGCAACCAAAAAATAGCTGGGCGTTGTGGCAGGCACCTGTAATCCCAACTACTTGAGAGGTGGAGGCAGGAGAATCACTTGAGCCCAGGAGTTGGAGGTTGCTGTGAGCTATGAAGCCACAGCACTCTACCCATGGTGACAGCTTGAGGTTCTGTCTCAAAAAAACCCCCCCAAAACAAAAAAACAATCTCCCACTTGGAAACAGCTAAGGAGAATATAAAAGTAAAAAAGAAAAATAAGAAAGAAGGAAATAAAAAAGTAAATAGGCATATGTATTTACAATTGCAAAAGAGAAATTTGAAGTGATTGTATACTTTGAACCAAAGTTATTTAAAATATATATAACAGAGGAAGGTATTTATGAGTAGCTATTAGTTTTCTGTTTTGAAAGAACTACAGGAAATTTATTCTGGGTTTGGAAAATGATCATCAATATTTTGTTTCATAGGATTGTTCTATCATTTTAGTTTTCAGATAGAATATGATCATGGGACACTGATACCTGAGAAGAGCCTTGGGAAATTCAGCTTAGGATTCATCCAATGGCCACACTTTCAGGAGCATGCACGTAGTGGTAGACCAGTGGGATTCTGATGAAAGGTTTCCTATAGGGCCTTATGCAAGAATGCATTATGAGATCTCTAATTTGTTGAAGAACCTAATAATTACCTGTATTTGCTGGTATTCAGTGGATGCTCCAGGTTTCTCACACTCTGTTAAGGGAACTTAGGATTGCAGATGGGTAGAAAAGGGGTCTCAGAGCCTTGTCTCAAGCTGACCTGGCAGAGCAAGCATGGTATCTCATTTCATTTCTTTTTTTTTTTTTTTTTTATTGAATGGTAACTGTGTACATTGGTGCACTTTGGGACAAAATGCTTATCCAGGGTGACTGAAGAAGCAGGTAAGAAGGAGGTGGGCATGGTGGCAGTCTACAACCTCCCCCTCCATTCCATGCCACTGCTGCCAATTTGTGCTTCGGGAGTGAAAGACATCATTAGCGATTGGCATGCGGTGTGAAGGATCAGAAGAAAAGGCAGCCTCATGCTCTTAAATACCACTTAGAAGATTAAAAAGAGACTGTAAAAGCTACGTGTTTTCACCTAGAGGTATCTCTCCAAAGTGCAAGTCTGACCATGTCTCTTGTGAAAGTCTCTCCCTGGCCTCTCACTGCCTGTTGATCAAGGCTGGGTCAGTGGGTATGACACAGGTGGCCCTGGCCAGCTCCTGGCCCTCCAGCTTCACCTGCTCCCATCACTCTGCTTCCTTTTGCTTTGCCTTTGAACTCCCCAGAGACACTGACTTCTAGTTTTATAGGACAAGATACTATTTCATGCCTCCGTTACTTTGCACCTGTTGTTATCTTTGCCTCCAAGAAAGCCCTACCCCTCCCTTCCTCCTCTCCCTTTCCTGAAGGGCTGCCTAGTGACCACTAGTGTTGGTTTCTGCAAGGCCCTTTCTTTACCACTCATGATACCACCAGGGTTTAATGCTACCTCCTTCATGCTGTTCTTCGTCCTTCTCCACGTTCGTTTGTAGCATCAGATTATTGGCGAACTGTTTTTTTGTGTTTTCTTTCTTTCTTTCTTTTCTTTTTTCTTTTGAGACAGAGTCTCACTGTTGCCCAGGCTAGAGTACTGTAGCGTCAGCCTAGCTCACTGCAATCTTTAACTTCTGGCTTCAAATGATCTTCCTGCCTCAACCTTCCAAATAGCTAAAACTACAGGTGCCTGCCATAATGCCTGGCTAAGTTTTCTATTTTTATTGGGGACAGCGTCTCCCTCTTGCTCAGGCTGGTCTCTTAACTCCTGGGCTCAAGCAATCCTCCTGCCTTGGCCTCCTAGAGCGTTAAGATTATAGGCTGAGCCACCACACTCGACTTACTGGTTCGTTTTTTTTATATTTCCTCTTCCCATTCATAAGCTTGTTGAGAGCAAGGCCCATCTTTTTGCTTATCTCTCTTTTCTTAGAGACTAGATAGAGTCTGGTACAGTATTTGTTGAGTGAATGAATCCTAGATTTTAGGTTTAGCAATTATTCTATACTAATAATATTTCAGTTTGTTCCATAGAAATAGAGATTTTTTTGCAGTTTTGGCCAGGGGCCAGGCTTGAACCTGCCACCCTGGTATATGGGGCCAGTGCCCCACTCCTTGAGCCACAGGCGCTGCCCCAAAATACAGTTTTTAATAAATATCAATAGTCTGAATTCCCACCTCTACTGTAGGGTAAACTTTATGAATACTGATGCTCTTTCACTGGAGTGTAGTAGAAACCACACCTATAATCCTAGCACTCTGGGAGGCTGAGGTGGGTGGATTACTTGAGCTCTCGAATTTGAAACCAGCCTGAGTGATAGTGAGAACCCTCCCCATCTCTACTAAAAAAATAGAAAACTAGCTGAGTATTATGGCAGGCACCTGTAGTCCAGCTATTTGGGAGGCAGAGGCAAGAGGATTGCTGGAGCCCAAGAGATTGAGGTTGCTCTTTCTAAGTGCATAGTTTTGAGACCCAAACCAGGGTTGTGCACAATCGTGTTAGCTCCTGGTTCAGCTTTTTATCTTATAATTTAGGTATGATTATCTTTTTCATATTCCTGGTGTCAATCTCTCAGACAGCTTACCCACAATCAGGCAAAGGAAATAAACACATTGAAGTCTAATATAAACCCTCACGGTCTCTTAGAGCTGTGGGTTAGATTAAGAGAGAAGTTATAGGACTGGGAAACTTAGTCTAGTAGAAGCTTTTTTTTTTTTTTTTAGTTTGAGATAAAATCTCACTCTGTTGCTTAGTCAAAGTGCCTAGCTCACAGCAGCTCAAATTCTGGGGCTCACATGATCCTCCTTCCTCAGCTTCCTGAGCAGCTGGGACTATAGGCACCTGCCACAATGCCTGGCTAATTTTTCTATTTTTAATAGAAACAGGGTCTTGCTCTTGCTCAGGCTGGTCCTGAATTCTTAAGCTCAAGGGATCCTCCCACCTTGGCCTCCCAGAGTGTAAGGATTATAGGCATGAGCCACCTTGCCTAGCTGAGTAGAAGCTTTTTATTCTACTAAGCGGTAAGACAGAAACAAAAAAATCCTACATTAGAAAAATCATAGCTCTCATCATTGCCGCCAAATTCTCCATCAACATAGGTCTTTGGGTACCTGCTAGTTCATGTCTTAGTTTGGTATGAAGTCCTCTTCCCTCACTCTTGAACTCATGCATAAATAAATCCTTCTTTGGAAACGGAGGAGTGGATTGCTTGTCAGTACCCCTCAGAGACTTCACAACACCGGCAGTGACTCACTCACTCCATGTGGCATCGAGCCTCTCTGTTTGACTAATCTCTCTTCTGAGATGTGCAAGTGACTAATACACGGGAAAGTTCCCTGGAGAAAGTAACTTGGCTGCCTGTGGTTTCTTGAGTCTGTCTGCGTGAGGGATCGCTGTGCTTTTCATTTGGATCATTCATTAGTTCAAAGATGGCTTAAAAGTAGCCCCAAAGTTAAGGTGGATCTTCTCCCACAAAGTTAAACAGGAAGCCTTTCACCTTTAAACAAATGTATGAAGCAAGAATATGTCTGAAATGATACAGAAGTCTCTAATGCAGTAAATGATGTCTGCGGGACCTTGACCATGGCTCCTGGATAGAAGTGTCTGGGATGGAGGTGTTTGGTCCACAGAGTTCTGATCTGTACTTGGTATTCTCCCACCTTCCACGTCAGCAGTGTTTTCTGCCCTCATCTTGCTCCTCGACAGCCCCACCTGGAATAGTATTCTCAGTGCGAGCCTCATATCTACTTTCTTTAAAAACACTGACAAAATGAATTGTCCTTCACCCTCTCTGCACCTGAGAAGAGCCCTCCAAAAAATGATGAAGAGTGGAGTAGGGTTCTAGGTCATTACTGCTAAAGGTAGCCTGTCTGCGTCTTTGTACACACACACACACACATACACACACACACACCCTTGCACTTATATCCACAACTTCATCTGTATCCTCTGGGTTTGATCCACAGAGTTCTTTCTGGCTGCCCCTCCTCTTTCCTAATTTGAAACTCCTTTCTCTCACAGTGAGAAACCTTTCTTTATCCACAGCAGAATGACTTCCGTTTAATCCTGGCATGCACATGAAAGTTTCAGAACTGCTAATTCATACCCATGAGAGACACAGATTTACTTGAGTGTAATATGCACGTAGAGTTCTTCTGTCTTTAGCCTCATTGTGTCTACATGAAATGTTCCTTCCCAACTCAGATGAACTCTTCTCTTCCTCGCCCTCTTCAGTGGTTTTATTATTCATTTGTGATATGGTGAGGTCCCTTTGTTACTCTTTGTATTCTATTTTGCTCCCAGGCTTGGTGGGATTGGGATTATAATCGAGTTGGGCAAACTCCTGGATTATGAAAGAAAACAAATGGCTTGGGTGGACCTTACCTTTTCTACTTCCAGTTAACTCGGAGTGAAGTTGCTCTCTGACAACCTGAAATCCACAACTGCATCCAAGTTGCTTTTTACTCTTTTCTCTCTTCCCTCCCCCTCCTTTCCTGGTCTCATTTTCACAAGAGTATCCAATTAAGAGAAAAACTGGTTTTAATACCCCTCCTTAATCCCTTTAATTTGGGAGGAGATTGTAATGAATAGTCAAAAGGGTGAAAGGGAGGTAGTGTGTGGGTGGAGGAGAACAGCCAGGGCAGTAAGTTGTAAAAGGGATAAAAGAGATTTCAGTAGCAGTGATAGTCAGCGATAGTCTTATTAATTTAGCACCAGTACAATTAAGAAGAGGCAAGTCCTTCTTTACCTCTGACCTGGGTTGTTTGGTGGGGCCTGATGACACACCCAGATGCTGCTGGGATTAGTAAGGTCTTGTCTAACTTTCTCCAGAAAGTTTAGCTCCTCATCCTGGGTCTGCCCGCTTCATAGTGCGTTTCATTCATTTATTCAATCAGTCATCTCTTCACAGAGAGAGACTTGAGTTCTTATTCTGCATAAGGAATTCTGCAGGGACAGACAGTCTCTGAGCCCCCTCCAGTCACCAGGCCCCCTCTGCCCAGTCCACCTGTCTGTCTTGAGACCATTCCCAGCGGTTGATGCGTCAACTCCAAAATATTTGGGAACTAAGTAAATAGAATTCGTGGAATTATGCTCAGAACCAGGTATACAAAGAGAAAAAGTAGCCATTTTGACAATCTCCTGCCAGAGCCTCCTCTGTCATTTAGACGTCTGGGCAAGGGCTAACCACCCGCAGGACTGCCTCAGAGCTCTTCCCCGAAGCGGTTCCAACGGCCTAGCCCGGGCATGTAGTTGAATCAGTGTAAACAGGGTTCCCCAATTAACTCGGGGAACAGCCGTGTGCCAGTGCTGGGAACCCAGAGTGATTCATCCGGCAGGTCACAGCAAGGCCGATTCAAATTCTAAAATGTTTGTTTCACCTGAATGATATTTATTAGCATAGTGCACAGAGCTACAAAACAATTATGTCAAATACTGCAAACAACAATAAAGATTTCAAAATTCCCCAAGGTGGAAGTAAGGGAGAGATGATTACAAATACCTACATCAGGTATGTAAAGTGGTGTTGAAGAAGTGGGTTAAGTTTCAAACTTTGTAACACAAATTTGATGACTTCAGTTTGTTAGAGACATGGCTGACTGAAAGAAAGATGTCTAGCCTTGTGGAATGTGTTTTAGGGTTTGGCTTACAGTCTTTAGGGGAGGATAGATGGTTTCCTTAAAGGAAAAGGCATGGGTAATCTCCCTCTCTCTCTCTCTCTCTCTCTTTCTATCTTGTTTTATCTGGGAGCCAGGGACAGACGTGAACATACTTAACTGTGTGAGGACTGGTCAGTAAATCTGATACGCTTTTTTCTCAAGTACTAAGAATTGCATGGTGTCTATTTTTGCTGAAAATCTTATTTTATTTCCACATATTTAACAATTAAAGTTAGCATTTGGAAAAGTATTTTGAGTAGAAATGCTATTTGTTTTTCCTCAGGGGTGCACATTTTTAAAAAAAAGGTGGCTCCAGTTCTTTATGGGGATTTCTCTACCCAGTGGCCTCAAAAGATTAGGAGGACAGGTGTTTCCAAATGCCCAGACCTAATCTGAGCATCATCTGAATTAGGCAAGGGCCTCAATTTTATGCATTCAGGTCGACTCTCCCTTGGGGAAGGGCTCACATAAGGTTGTTGGTATTTCCTGCCCCCTATTAGGCCAAAAGCTATTGTAATAACAGTGTTTCTGGCTGAACTCAGGTAACTTTGCTTCAAATCCAGGCCAGAATCAGGAAATGAAGAGGCGTGGGTGAAAAGGAAAACTAGTAGGGTGGAGGTTTGGGGATGCGGAAGGGAAAATTTCTAAATCTTTGGCATCGAAATGTTCAACATGGATAAGTCATTGGGAAAAAATAATGACACACACTTAATGGAAATTACCACTGGTCAGATTCTCCACTGTAACTTTTGGTTCTAACATTGTGTAAATGGTCTGGGTAGATCTGAAAGGCTGCAAGGTTCATCAGACTAGGAGGTAGAATATTCAGTTTCTTTACAAGTGTTTTGAGGGCTTAGAGATAATCTTCTTTAAGAAAAACAATACAAGGTCAGGCATGGTGGCTCACACCTGTAATCCCAGCATTCCAAGAGACCAAGGTAAGTGGATCCCTTGAGCTCAGGAGTTTGAGACTAGCCTGAGCAAAAGCGAGAAATCATCTCTATGAAAAATCGAAAAATTAGCTGGGTGTGGTGGTAGGCACCTATAGGTCCAGCTACTTAGGAGGCTGAGGCAGGAGGATCACTTAAACCCAGGAGTCTGAGGTTGCTGTGAGTTATGCTGATGCCATGGAGCCTGAGGTTTCTGTGAGCTACGCTGATGCCATGGCACTCTAGCCTGAGCAACAAAGTGAGACTCCATTAAAAAAAAAAAAGGAACATAGGGCTCAGGGAATGATGTAGTGGGGCTCCTCACGGCAGTGGTAGCCAAGGCCTCTTGGTTCTGTGGCACCTGGTAGTCGGATCTCTTCTGCCTCTATCTCCACGGCTTCACAGGGCCAGCTGTGGAAGTGGAAAAGACTTGGGCTGCACCAGCACAGTCCCCAGGAGGCTCGAGATCATAGAAGGGAAGTGGTTACTGTGCATTTTGCTGGCCTCTGCTCCATCCTCACGATGGACTTGAGGATGATGTGACTGATAACAAGGATGACCTTGATAATGTCACTGGAGAGGTAGAAAACTCCACACCAGATACCAGCCCTCCTCTTCCATCTCCAAAAGTCACTTACAAAGTTCCAACAGAGAAAGTATATTTTACTGATTTCTTTGACAGAAGAACTTTGTCAGGATGGACTTTATCCAAAGCCTAGAAAGAGGCCCAGTGTGGTGGCTCACACCTGTAATCCTACCACCCTGGGCGGTGAAGGCAGGAGGATTACTTGGGCTCAGGAGTCTGAGACCAGCCTGAGCAAGAATAAGACCCTCCTCTCTACTAAAAATAGAACAATTAGCCAGCTGTTGTGGCAGGCACCTGTAGGCCCAGCTACTCGGAAGGCTGAGTCAGGAGGATCACTTGAACCCAGGAATTTGAAGTTGCTGTCAGCTAGGCTGATGCCCTGGCATTCTAGCTGGGGCAACAGAGTGAGAGTCTTTCTCAGCAAAAGAGAAACCCCCCTAAACCTAGAAAGAACACAATGATGATGAAATTGCCAAATATGACGGAAAGCAGGAGGCAGGTGAGATAAGGAATCAAAACTTCCAGGTGAGATCCTTTTGTAGTTCCTAAGCACGATGATGGGTTTTCATGCACATGTGTGAGATGTGTTGCCCATAAATCTTGTTATGAGGTTGGTACATTACCCGTCTGATGCGGAAAAAAAAAAAATACACCTTCCAGGTAATAAAAGACTTGTATTGGTGTCTCAGGCCAAATATCATGTCATTTCCACTACACTGAACAAGCCCTTCCTATTTGACACTAGGCCTCTCACTGTTGGCTTTGAGGTTAATTTCCAAACTGGAATAGACTGTGGTGATTCCTATGTGGAAACACTTTCTAAAACACTCAGCCTGGATCAGTTCTATGACAAGACTCCTTATACAATTATATTTGGTCCCAGTAAAAGAGGAGAAGATTATAAATTGCCCTTCAGCTTCCACCACAGAAACCTTGATGAGCATTTATGAAGAAAAGCATGTCAAGAGTGGCAGCACCTGTGGCTCAAAGGAGTAAGGTGCCAGCCCCATATGCCGGAGGTGGCAGGTTCAAAGCCAGCCCCGGCCAAAAAACGAAAAAAAAAAAAAAATAAAAAATGAAAAGAAAAGCATGTCAAGAGGCCAGATGCAGATCTGAAGACCTACTTTACTGCCAAGAAAACATGTCTTTACACATTAATCTTGAAACCACATAATAGTTTTGAAATATTACTTGATCAATCTGTTGTGAACAGGGCAAATGTGCTAAATGGCAGGATTCCTGCTATAAATCCTTCATGTGAAGTTGAGAACCCAGAAGACCAGAAGCCTGGGGACAGGATGAAAGCTCAGTGCTGTCCAGCCAGATGGCTGGGATGAAGATGAGGCCCCTGCTGAGATTCCAGATGAAGAGGCCATAAAACCTGAAGTCTGGTTACATGATGACCCCAAATGCACACCTGCTCCAGATGCAGAGAAGCTGGGACGAAGACACGGATGGAGAATGGGAGGGTCCTCAGATGGCCCATTCAAGATGTGAATCAGCTCCTGGGTGTGGTGCCTGGCAGTGACTTACGATTAAAACCCCCAATTATTAGGGCAAAGGAAGCCTCTTATAATGGACAATCCTCACTACCAGGGAATTTCTGAAAACCAAAGAGAATATTGAATCCACATTGCTTTGAAGATCTTGAACCTTTCAGAATGATTCTGTTTAGTGGTATTGGTGTGAAGCTGTGGCCCATGACCTCTTTTTGGACACCTTTATCATCTGTGCCCATAGAAGAGTAGTTGACAGTTGGGCCAATGATGGATGAGGCCTAAAGAAGTTGTTGATGGGGCTATTGAGTGATGCACAATGGGGCAGACCACAGAGGCAGCTGAGGATCACCCGTAGTTCTGGCTGGTCATGTTTTGACCATGGCTCTACCCATGTTCCTCATTATTTTTTTCTGTTGTTCTGGAAAGAAACAGTGTAGTGCTGTGGAGTACAGCTGATGGTCCTCAACCAAATGGGAAGGAGGAGGAAGAAGAGAAGGAGGAGGAAAGGGAATAAATAGGAGGAAGGGGAAGAGAAACTTGAGACACAGGAAAGTGGTGCTGAAGAAGATGGTGGTACCGTCAGTCGAGAGGAGGAGGACAAAAAACCTAGAGCAGAGGAGAATGGAATTTTGAACAGATCATCAAGAAACAGAAAGCCATGAAGGCAGTGGAACAGTCTTAAGAACTCCATCTGTGATTTCCTCTCCCTCCCCCCCTTACCCCCCACACGTGTGGACCTAAGAGAGGACCTGACACACCTTAAACTCAGAGACTCAGAAAACCTGAAAATGTCCCTATCAACAGGCTCAGGTGATTCTGTACCAGAACATCTGGCAATAAATAATTGCAGTTGTGATACAAAGAACCCTGTTTCTATAGAGATGAAAACATTTATCATAATGATTGTGAAATGTAACATGAAGCAACTAACTTATATTTTCTTTTGTTTTTAAACTTTTTTTTTAATAGAATGCTGGAACTTTGCCAACCTGCAAAATCTTGGCTTAATTTATTAATCCATCCATGCAGAAATAACACCAACCAACGCTTTCTTTCTTTTTTTTTTTTAATTTCAGAATATTACAGAGGCACAAATGTTTCGGTTACATGAATTGCTTTTGGACAGTTTGAGTCCATCAAACTGGCGTGCCATCGCCTGGATAGTGTGCATCGTACTCATTAGGTGGGGTAAATTCACCTCCCCTCTTGTCCTGTCCCACCTGTTGGCTTTCTGTTGAGTTTTACTACCAAATGTGCACAGGGGTGTTGATTAATTAGTTCCAATTTAATAGTGAGCACATGGGGTGCTTGTTTTCCCATTCTTGCAAAACCTCATTTAGAAGAATGGTCTCCAGTTCCATACAGGTTATTACAAAAGGTATTAGTTCAGCATCATTTTTTAATGTCTGGGTAGAACTCTATGGTATACATACACCACATTTTATTCATCCACATATGTATTGATGGATGCTTAGGTTGACTCCACATGTTTCTGATTGTGAATTGTACTGCAAAGAACATTCAAGTGCATGTGTCTTTTTGATAAAATGACTTTTTAAATTTTGTGTAAATAGCCAGTGGTGGGATTGATGGATCAACTGGTAGGTTTACCTTTTTTAGTTCTTTGAGGAATCTCAATATGACTTTTTGAGGTTCTACTAGTTTGAATTCCAACCATTTTAAAATGGTAGGAAGATGAGTTTCAGTTTTTATAACAGATTTTTTTTTAAGTTTGGTATTACAAAACATTCAAGTGTCTCTTTGTCCGTTAAAATTGATAATCATGTTTAAAAGGCAATCATTTATGGTTATAATCTTGTTTTGCTGGCCTTTATTACTCAAATCCTCCAGGGGACATTGAGGAAAGGGATTAGACAGAAGACCAAAGTTATATAAAAGTTCCATTTAAGTTGTATTAAGAGATAGAAAAAGAGGTCGGGTGTGGTATCTCACGCTTATAATCCTAGCACTCTGGGTGGGTGGATTGCCTGAGCTCTGGAGTTCAAGACTAGCCTGAGCAAGAGCAAGACCCCATCTCTACTAAAAATAGAAAAACTAACCAGGCATCATGATGGGTGCCTATAATCCCAGCTACTTGGGAGGTTGAGGCAAAAGGATGGCTTGAGCCCCAGTGTTAGAGGTTGCTGTGAGCTATGATGACAATATCCGGTTTTATTAACCAACTATTTAACACACTTCTATAATACTCTTTTCTCAACGTTTTTTGGTTGCATACTTCAACTGCCTCTTCAAAAGATAACAATTTCATGATATTTTCTGTAGAGAATGGAGTGAGGAATCAGTGAAACCTTGTTTCTCTCCCACTACCCACATCCTCACACTTCTGGTACCAGATTCTGTAGGACAACATGTGGCCATACAATCTTTGTGTAGAAGCCAAAGAGTTGGCACAGGGAGGGTGAGAGTGGGGAGGAGGCGGAGAAGTATATTCCACAAAGCCAGTCCTTCGTGGGAAGGCTTATAAATGTAACTATACATATAAATGACTTAGTACTACATAAATGGGCCCTGCAGAACGGAACTGCATTGCTCCCAAATCAACCTTTCATTAGCTGGATCCAAACAATGCTCAAGGCCATCCAACTTTAAGAGATTGTCTGGGTGGAAAGAAGTTATAATATTTACTAGTTGTGATTTAATCACAAATTATGACAAAAATATGGCACATATACAAATTATAGAGACACTCATGACCCTGTGAACACATTGGTGGGCCCCTTTCTTTACCAGGATCTTGGAAGAAGCTCATGCACGGGGAGAGCCTTTATGTTGAACCTTCATGAGCTGCATAGGAAATCCACCTATGATTCATGAATTTGAGCAAGTGACTTAACTCCCTGACCTCTGTGTCCACATCTGTCCATTCCACAGTGGATTTTTCTTTTGTTTTTGATAGAGAGTCTCATTCTGTGCTTTAGATGGAGTGCTGTGGCCTCATAACTCACAGCAACCTCCAAATCTTGGGCTCAAGCTATCCCCTTGCCTCAGCCTCCTGAGCATTACTGGTGCTAACTACAATGCCCAACTAGTTTTTCTATTTTTAGTAGATATGGGGTCTCGCTCTTGCTCAGGCTTGTCTTGAATTTCTGAGCTCAGGTGATCCCGCCAGCCCTGGTATATGTGGCCGGCGCCCTAATTACTGAGCTATGGGAGCTGAGCCCTCCTATCAACTTCTTAACCCACCTTAATCAGGCCTTTCTTCCCACCACACCATCATAGACACTGTTGTCAAGCTACCAGCAAACTGCTTGCTAGAATTCAGTTTCTCAATGGATTTGACCCAGTCAGTCACCCCCTCTTCCTTGAAATACTTTATTTATTTTGGCTTGGCTTCTGTGAGTCCACATTTCTACCTCCTTGGTTCCTCTTTCTCATTCTATTTTCCTGGCTCTTCTTTCTCTTCTGGACCAAATGTTTTTGTTTTCGCTTTTTCAGACAGAGTCTCACCAAGTCACTCCAGGGTTGAGTACTGTAGTGTCATAGCTCACAGAAACCTCAAACTCTTGGGCTCAAGCAATCCTCTTGCCTTAGCCTCCCAAGTAGCTGGAACTACAGGTGCCCTAGACATGGCCTGGCTATTTTCTTGTGCAGGCTGGTCTTGAACTCCTGAACTCAAGCAACCCATCCACCTCGGCCTCCCAGAGTGCTAGGATTACAGGCGTGAGCCACCGCACCCAGCCTATCTGTAAATGTTAAAGTAATTCCACATTCAAATGTCAATTTCTCTTCTGTTTTCCATGTAAGCTCATTAATCTCATATAACTTTGTGGCTTTAAATTACATTTGTATCTACTGGTTTTAAAATACATACTTTCAGACTTGATTTCACCCTTGAGCTCCAGATTTGCCACCTAACTCCCCACTTAGCATCTATTTGGTGCCTCACATCATACTGGTCCCAAAATAAACCCTAATTCCACCAGCTTGGACCTGCTCCTCCTTTAGGCTTGCCCATCTCAGTAAATGCCACCAGGACTCACCTATGTGCTCAGTGCAAACTTATAGTTGTTATTCTCAACTCCTGTTTTTCCTGTTACACCTCAGTTACCCTCACCTTCAAACCTATCATCTCTCATATAGAATCTTGCAAAAACCTCCAAACTGGTATCTTGC